CATCACCCAGAACTTCTCTCCAAGTGGACACACTGTGTTGGGAAGGCAGGAGGCTTGATGAAAGACAGTATTGCTTTCAATATGGATGCCCAAGAGCAGGTGCTGGGAGGGCTTCTCAGGGGAGATCTTGGGCCAGTATCATCTGAGAAACCTTTCAGGTAGTGGTCCTCATCCTCAGAGTTCATTCTGGGGCTGGAAGAGTACCCTGGACCACTGGACAGGGGATTGATCACACAATGACAGTCTGGATGAGAGCTGAACAATGTCTTCAAGATGGATATTTCCTCCAGTTCACCTGTGGTCCTCAGGCAACAACAACCAGCAGGACACCTGGGGACTGATTAGGTTTCTGGTCATCATGGGGCTCCTACGGCAAAGGGGAAACTCTACACGCTCACTGGGCCTCTGTCTATGACCTCACCTCCCCCTTACCACTCACTATGTCAGGGAGACTTTCATCAAGTTTGCAGTGAGAAGAAAAACAGCATAAGCAGGCAGCTGAATCTGTCAGCCTTCAGGCAGCTTAGCTGACTTTTAGCTTAATAATCAGAAAAGTGGCACCTTTGATTTCAGATTCCATAGTAACTTCCTTCCCCCAGAGCAGTGACTCATCTCTCTAGAGGGTGCTCTTCAGTGCAAGAGAAGAAATGGGTTACTCTGGGGCTGGGATGGGGTCCAGAGTTGCATGAAGCACTTTTTAAGAATACCTCCAGCATGAGCCCAGAACCCCAAATGCCAGCCATTCTCCCAGTAGTTCTAGAATCACCCCAGCCTGAGAAGTCACGTCCCAGGCAGCTGGACAATGGCCCTAGGTTGTTGCACTGTGATTCCAGGAGAGGATATGGCAGGCACCTGCTCCTGGCTCTCCCATCTCAGTTGAGGGTGGTTTTGGAAGGACATGAAGCAGGAGACAGGGTTGTATTAGGTGAGGGTCTCTTGGTATTTTATCAGGTCTGGAAGTTATATGACAAGGCTTGCAGGTGGATGATAAATTAACAAACCCACAAGATGATACTTCCTGCTGACTGTCCAGCCAAGTCAGGGGCCAAAGCAAGTTTGCCAGTCCATTTGGACTCTTAACAAACCTAGAGGCCTCCTGGGACATTGTAGGGTTTTCTCTCTACCCATAGTTTCTGTTTCAACCACATTTATTTCTTCCATGAAACAAGAGCTCAGAATAGAGGGAAAGTGGCCTTAGATGCAGACAGAACTGTGTTCAGTCTCTGGCCCAACATATCTGAGGTGTGTGACAAGGGTCACCTCTGTTACCTCTCTGAGTCTCAGTTTCTGCATAAGTCTATAATCACAACAGGATCTCCTCCATAGGGTTTCTGTGATGATTAGGTGAGATAATGGATATAAAGCACCTGCGAGTTTAGTGTCTGGTACATGTTAATGTCTCAGTCTAAGCTATTGATGATACCCATGCTGACGATGACAATGAAATAGTTATTAAGCCATCATGGTATATTTCCTTGCTTATCAACTAGGGTGTGTACTTCACAGGCCTATATGTGCATGCACATGCCATTATCCCTCTTCTCTCCATTCTGGTCATTTGCACCATCCTGGATACCCTTTGATCAAAAGGAATGAAACCAGAGTGACATTTCTGTGACATACCAAAGGAATCTAATTATCCTGTTTCACTGATTGGAATGGTAAATCCCCCTAATCCTGCAGCTGTAACCACCATCATTTTCCCATCCACAAACATTTTCTGTGCATCTCCTGCATGTCGGGCATTATTCTAGCAACTGGTAGCACAGATAGGTATTATCTGTAGCAACAAAATAAAGCAACAGAAGCAAAGCCCCTCCCCTCATGACATGAACATTCTGGTGGCAGAGTCAGATAAGAAATATGCAGGCCAGAGTCCAGTCTTTCTATCAGAACCACTATCTTCACTGGAACATCCCTTTCCTAGGTCCCTCCCCACTCCTAATTCCAACTCCAGAACCATCCCTCAGGGATAGACTAGACTGGCTGCAGAATTGGCTTCCCCAGAGCTGGAAGGGTGCAATTCACAGCTTGGAAAAAATTGCAATCTCTGCTAAACTAGAAACCTGGCATCACCTTTGACCTCTCCTTCTCCCTCTCCCACACTCCCCATATCTAGGATGCCCTCCATCTGTGTCTCCTCCCGCACAGCACTTATCCCCAGTGCCCCCACCCGCACTCTCACCTTTGTCATCTCTTGCCTGGGTTTCAGCAACAGCCTCCCTGCCTTTGGTCTTGTCCTCTTGGAGTCCAACTCCCACAGAGTAGCCATACCTCCACAGAGTAGCTCACACACAATCATGTCACTCTTGAGCTCCATGCCCATCAGGACCCCCAGGAGATGATTTTGCCCCCAGGAGAAAGCCTACACTCCTCGGCACTGTCCTGCATATCAGAGCCGGGCTCATTTCTCTGGCATCACCTTATTTGGGGAGCTTACATATGGTAAAACCTTCAGCCATATTGAACTCACCATCTTTCTCTAAACCGTAAGCCTTTGCACGTACAATTCCTTCTGTCTAGAATATGCCCTCTGTCCCTCCTTCATCCAACTAAGCCCAAGTCATCCTTGACCTCTCAGCTTAAATGTTGCTTTTTCTAGAAAGCCATCCCTGGCTCTCCATCTCCTGATGTGATCCCCTCCTGGGAACTCCCATGGCCGCCAGCCTTCCACTATCATGGTGCTGTGCCAGATTTGCCTGTTGGCTTGTCTGCCTTCCCTAGTACATGGTGAGCTTCTTGAAATTTCTTGTTTATTTTGTTTATTGTGCCTGAAACATGGAAGACAGACCTGGTCATTTCATCCATGTGTAATGAGCAAATGGCCCATGCTCTGCATCAAGACCCGCAGTGGGAATGGTCCCACTCAGCTGTGTTGGGAGCAGCCCTTGACTCCTGTTGCTGGGTCACTGTCTAGGGGAGGAGATCATGAGGAAGGATAAGCTGCCTCCCTTTCATTTCTGACACAACACCTTATTATGTGGGAACCTCCCCTCTTCCCTCTCCCCCACAGCTCCATAGAGCACCCTCCTTTTCAAAGCATGGTCCCCTTTGCCAAAGAACATCCTACCTACTCTTATTCCCAAGAAAACTCCTTCATCCTGCTGAACCTACTCTACTTCTTAGGAGGAGAAACGGTTATTGTTTTGTGTTTTTCTCAACACCCAGAATGGAATCCACATCACATTCTGCCCTGAGATCCATTTTTTCCCACTTGAACCCCATCTGGGGCCCTCCAAAGGAGACTGGGCTTTGTCCTAACCAGGTGCCAGCCCTGATAAAACAACAGCCACTTATTTCTGCCCACATCAGTGTCAGTGGCCAACCATCCCATGTCCTAATGGGAGGCAACTCTCCACAAAGCTTTCTTTCTCTCACCACTTCTGCATTATATAGAATTCCCAGGGAGGGGCCTGGGTCTGGCTTCTTGATCAAGGCCAAGGGGCTCCCCAGGCCCCACCCAGTTTCCCAATGTGAGAACCACCCAGCTGGCCGCCTCCCCAGCTCACAGGCTGTGGGGAGAAAGAAAGGGCTGTTGAGAGTGACTCTGGGTTCCCACGCAGGAAGGTGCCAGCTCAAGACAGCATGGCTTTGTGCTTGGGAGAGTCTGTCTTCTCACCAGGCAGAAGGGCATAGCAGCCTGTGGAGAGATCAGAGGGATAGCAAAGGATGGCTGGGGCATCCCTGCCTCAAGCAGCAGGAACACTGGAAGCACGCACCTGCCCCAGGGGAAAAGACACCTGACCCCAAACTTAGCGCTGAGACTTATCCAAGACAATCCATTTCTCTTCAGCCGCACACATCAGTTTCTTTACTTTGGTGATTGTTCACTGAGAAGATAGTTCCAAACCAAGACATACCATAAGTCTGAATTTTTTTCCTTATCTACATGTTTATTTTATTTTATTTTTTGCCAGATAGTCTGACTGTGTTTGGATTGTATTTTATATTTACATGTGTTTAAAGATAGATCAGTACTGTATAGCTGGACCCAAGGATGGGCAAGACATTATATATTAATAGGCTATGCAAATCTTTTTCATAAGTGCAGCTCCCCAGGGTACTACAGTTGTTCTTTATCTTTTATCACTAGTGAAAGGACACATCTTGCTGCTGGCCATGACAGATTGGGGAGGAAGAGCAAGTGAGGGTAGAAAGTCTCCCATAGTTGTTTGGACCCTCTTAATTATTACTCTTCTCTGTAGCAACTGCTGTTCTCCAAAATTTAGGGCTCAAAGCCCTGGGCAGTTCCCAATTTGAATGGAACCACAGACGCTGAGAACTTGTGAGGGATACTTGAGATCATCCAATCCAGCAAGCTCTAGAGAACAAATATGACTCTGTGTACGCTACGTGTGTGTGTGTGTGTGTAACTGTGAGAGCATGTGAGTGTATCCGTGTTTGTGACTTACGGTGTGTTTATAGGTGGGTGTGTGAGTGTGTATGTGAGATGAGTGTGAGAGGATGTGGATGATTGTGTGTGCAGATGAATGTGAGGAAGTAAGAGTGGATGTGGTTGTGAGTGGTTATGTGTATGTATAGGAAATGTGTGAATGTGTGTCTGTGAGCATGGGTGGGAGTATAAGTGTGTAAGAGTGCATGTGAATACATGTGTGAGTGTGTGTGAAAGTGGGCGGGTTTTGTAGAGAATGGAAAGAAGATCTAGTGAGGATCCCTAGCACCAAAACCCGTGCCCCCCAAAATCTCTGTAAACCAAATAAAGCTTTGAAAACATCTCAGCTAATTCAAGCTGATTTAACATCATCACTTGACAAATGTGTAAACTGTAAATAACCCACTGAAGAAAGAGATGTGCCAAATAGCTTTATGGTGCCAGGGCTAGAATCTGGGTCTCTTGACCACACGTTGCTCTGTTGCCAATAGAATTGCTCCTGCTATTCCTGAACACTGTAGTGGTCACCTAGGGGTGTGCTGTCAGCACTGTCTTTTTAGGAAGCCCATCCCTCAATATCCTCCTACTCACCATGTCCCACACTTACCTCATCACTGCAGACATTCATCTCATCGCTTACGATAAAAGTAACACATGCTCATTATATACAATCCGCATAGCCACATTCTGCAAGAACAGTTCATTTGCACAGCACACTTCCTGGCAATGACTGATAGGTCTCTAGGTAGAGCAGCTGAACCAAGATTGGCCAGTTGGAGCTCTTTCCTGAGAGTTCTCACAACAGAGTGAAGAGAGGGAGGCATCCATCTCCAATGGCTAATTCTGTAAGATACAAAACTCACCTTGTGAAAGAAGCCACGAAGCCGCTATGAAAAAGACTGAATCCAAACTATAGAGAAGTAGGGTTAAGAGACACAGAGGATCCCTGTTTCCAGCTTTTCAGAGACCCAGCATCATTTCTGGACTTGCTGTAACTTGAATGTTTAATCCTCTCTCTCTTTTGTGCTTAAATTAATTAATTTAGCAGGATCTCTTCCCCCTTATAGCCTAAAGCCAAAATACACCAGTGTAATCAGATCCCCTCAGACTTTTTTGTATCCACTCCTCAAATCTCTATTCTCTTTTTTGTGAAATGTATTTTACTATAATATAAAAATCAATGCATGTGAGGGAGATATATCTAGTTCTAATTTCTATATTGGAAACAAGAGAACTTGGAAGCATTTAAGTTAGGGGAAAAGATAGAACTAAAACAAATCTTATTACCAATTCTGATATCTTCCCAAGAAACCATGATGATGTATATAAATTGGTATAAGTAACAAAGACCCAAAATAATATTCCTTAAACATGATGAAAGTTTAAATTTTTTGTGCAGTGAAGTCCAGAAGTAAGCAGTCTAGGGTTAGTATAATGACACTGTTCCATGAAGACCTCAGGGAGCCAAGCTCCTTCTAGCTTGTTGCTTTCATTGCATTCTCAGTTCTTATCTGAAAAGTACACATGTTGCTATATCTGCCTCACAGCCCAAGATGGCTGCGCCATCCTGCCATCCCATCTGCATGTCAGCCAACAGGAAGAAAAAAAGGATGAAGAAGATGGGAGAGAATGCATCAGCTCCCCTCTAAGGAAGTCTCCCAGAAGTTGTCAGATGACACTTCCACTTAAATCTTACTCACAAGAACATAATCATATGGCCACAACTAATTTGAAAACAGTCTGGAAAATATAGCCTTGACTCTGGACAACCATGTATAAAACTACAAATGAAGAGTTTTTTAACCTTGGAAAAAGTGAGAATGGGCATTAGAGAACAATGTCCCCATGTTATGCTTTCTTCTTTGACAGATTCTGCCATCTTTCTAGTGGTCACTCTAACTGTTGCAAATGACAGCCCTTCTCTTTTCTCTGATGCCTAATTTGCATACACCAGTGTTTGTGGCTCCAAACTAGAGAAGTAATGTTTAGAGCTAGAGAAATATATAATGAACCTTACTTGGAGGTTGGGACCAAATGGATCTGTTGGAGAATTCAGGAATAGACCATGTGGTTCCATTTTTCTCTTCCCCAAAGATTTTTCTCCCTAATCCTCATCAACCTGCTGCCCCATAAGGAATGACAAGCTAGAAAGCTCCCCCCAATACACACCTCCCACCCCTATTTTATTAGAGAAAAATATCTCCTGATAGGACCCTTATAAGAGCAAGACTGATTCACTCCTCATTTTTTTTGAGACAGAGTCTTGCTCTGTTGCCCAGGCTGCCAGTCTGGAGTGCAGTGGCGCAATCTCGGCTCACTGCAACATCTGCCTCCCAGGTTCAAGTGATCCTCCTGCCCAGCCTCTTGAGTAGCTGGTAGTACAGGCATGTGCCATTGCACCCAGCTAAATTATGTCCCTTTTTGTCTTATTCGCAGACTTAAGAGCCAAATCTCAGGCAGGGTAACATACAATCTCTCTTCCTTCCTCCCTTCCTTACTTTCTTCTTTCATTCTGTCTTCCTCACTAACTCACTCCCTTCCTCCCTTACTTCCTTCTTCATTCCTTCTTCCTCCCTCCCTCCCTTTTCCCCTTTCTTTATTCTCTCCTTCCTTCCAGGATGTTTTCTGTAAGACTGAAGGGATTATACAATGCATATCATTTGACAGTTTTTTTCAAGATGACAAATATCTTGACATATTTTTCCATCAGACTGCACTAGCCTATGGTACTAAAGTTTATTAAACCAGCCCCTGCTGATCATAGAAAAGTGTTGCAAAGTCTTGGCATGCGTGTCTTTGCACCCTTGCTCAGGTTTTTGGGTAGGACAAGTTCCTTGAAGTGGATTGCTGGGTCAAAGGGGATGCACATTTTAATTTGCCAAATTGCTAGGTTGCCTTCCAAATACATACCACTGTATACTTTGGTGTGTGTTCATTTTTATCTCTGTAAGACATCATATAAGAGAGCTCTCCTTCTGCATTTTGCTTAATTTTTTGGGAAAATAAAAGTCAATCCAGGTCGGGAAAGGAAAAGATTGGGGAAGGCTTCCATGAGGAGGTCACTTTTCAACCAGACGTTGAAGGATGGCATGGTATTCAGAGAAACAGACAAAGGCCATTCCAGGTAGAGGCTGGAATATGGAGTCAAAGACATTCTTGGAGCCTGGTCGAGGTGGGGAGGTAGTTCATTATTCCTTGGTAAATTCTTGGCCATAATGTTACTTAGACCACAGCCCACTACAAGGCAGATTTAGATACTTGAACAAAATACATAAAAACAGACAAATAAGCAATCACATTCCAAAGGGGTAAACAGACAATAAACAGAAAATAAAGTCAACTAGATGGCATGTTAGATGGAGATAAGTGCTTTGGGGAGTAAAAATCAGGGATGGGAGATGGGTAATGTGCATGGGGAGCAGAAGGGGATGCTGTGTTAAACAAGGTGACTAGAAAAAGCCTCATGAGAGGGTGATAATGACCCATAGTGGGTGAAGGAAGGAGACTTCCAGATTCCTGGGAAAGGAGCATTCCAGGGAGAGGGGCAGCAAGGACAAAGTGCCTGAGGTGGGAGAGTCCTCAGTGAATTAGAAGAAGAACAAGAAGGTCACATGGCCAGAGCAAAGTGAAAGAGGGGACAAAGGGGACAAAAAAGATAAGGTCCTAAAACCCTGGGGGCTGACTGCTATCAGGCTCCGTGGCTTGCTTGGCTGTTTGTTTGGTTTGGGCCATTTTTTAGAATAAGATGATAAACCATTAAGAGGTTTTTAATAGAGGAGTGACATACTCTGACGTGTGGTTCAAGGAGATCCTTCTGGACAAGAGAAATATGAGGACCAAAATGAGACCAATCCAAAGGCTACTGGCATAATGCAGGTAATTTGGACCAAGGTGAAGCAGTAATGGTGGTGGAAAATGACCATATTCTGAACGTATTTTGAAGGTAGAGTCTTTAGGATTTGCTCATGGATTGGGTGTGAGGTATAAGAGATGAGGAAGCATCAAGACAGCTGTAGAGTTTTGACATGATGCTGCCATTAACTGAAGTAGGATTCAGTTTGGAGCTGGGGGAGAGATTCAAGGGCTCAGTTACAGATATTAGTGTGTGGTTCCTTTAGACATCAGAGTGCTGTCAAGTAAGCAGTTGGACATGTTAGAACAAATTCAGGGAGAGGTCAGGGCTAGAAATATAAACAGATGAGTCATCAGCATATAGATAGCATTAAGAGTCATTAGGCTACATGAGGTTACCAAAGGAATGAGCATGGACAGGAAAAGAGAAAAGGTCTGAGAATTGACCCCTGAGACACTGTTACAAAGTCAGGAAGGTGGGAGTGGGGGAGCCTGTGATGGTGACCAGCTAGCAAGGTAGGACATTGGGTCCTAAAGGCCAAAAGACATGAGTGTTTGACAGAAGAGCAGCATGTGCTTAAACACTGCTACTGACTATTTGCAACTGCAGAAATACAGAACTGGCCCAGAGGCTCATTAATCAACGAGATTAATGTATAGAAATTTGTGGTATATACCGTGGCATACTACACAGCCATAAAAAGGAATAAAATAATGGCATTTGCAACAACCTGGAATTGGAAACCATTATTCTAAATGAAGTAACTCGAGAATGGAAAACCAAACATCATATGTTCTCATTCATAAGTGGGAGCTAAGCTATGAGGATGCAAAAGCATAAGAATGATACAATGGGCCAGGTGCAGTGGCTCATCCCTATAATCCCAGCACTTTGGGAGGCCAAGGCGGGTGGATCACCTGAGACCAGGAGTTCAAGACCAGCCTGGCCAACATGGCAAAACCCTGTCTCTATTAAAAATACAAAAATTAGTTAGGTGTGGTGGCACATGTCTGTGGTCCCAGGTACGTGGAAGGCTGAGGCATGAGAATCCCTTGAACCAGGAGGCAGAGGTGGTGGTGAGCCAAGATGGTGCCATTGCACTCTAATGTGGGTGACAGAGCAGGCTCTGTAAAAAAAAAAAAAAAAAAAAGGATTATACAAGGGACTTTGGGAATTTGGATGGAAAGGGTGGGAGGAGTTGAGGGATAAAAGACTACAAATAGAGTACAATGTATGCTGCTTAGGTGATGGATGTACCAAAATCTCAGATATCACCACTGAATAACTTATCTATGTAACCAAACACCTCCTGTTCCCCCCAAAACCTATGGAAATGCAAAATAATAAATAAATAAATACTGCTGTCAGGTCAGGAAAGACAAGGACTAAAATGCTGGCCACTTGATTTTCCCCTGAAAAAAATTTATTACTTTTAACCAAGTGCTGGTCAAGTCTCCCTAGCCTTGGATGGAAGTTATATCACTTTGCACATCATCAGCCAAGCACTGATTGGATGGTTTCACTTGCAAAGGGGAAATCTTATCTCCTAGTCATGAGGTGGGATTTCTGACAGAAGGAAGAGCATATATTAGGTGAAGAAAGCTAGACTAGGAAGGAATGGAGACAGCATGGGCACCAGTCTTGGTTTATCTACTTACTCCCTGTGTGACCTTAAGACCCTCTGTAGCTCTCTGCATCTTCACATGCAGTATGGTGGGTGGTGAGCAGAGCAGGGTTCCCTGAGACACTTTTCAGAGTCTCTTCCCAAGTCTAAAATTCAAAGACATTTCCCTTTCTCAGTCAGGATGGCTACATAATTTGCAGGATTCCTTTTTCAAAATGTGTTGTGTAGGGGGAAATGCTGTTAAAGATACTAAATATAAAGCTTTTTCTTTTCTTCCACTATTTCTCACTTGACTTGTCTTAGTGCTTTTTTAATTGCTATCTAATATGATTCTAGGTAAAATACATAAATGAAATTTTACATTATTAGTATGGATTTTACCATTTACTTTTATATTATGCAATGCAAAATTTTAAATGCAAATATGAAAACATTGAACTCATAAGCAGAATCAATAAAATTATGCAATTCATATTTCATAGTTCATACATGCTGTATTAGTCATTTCTCACACTGCTAATAAAGACCTAGTTGAGACTGGCACCTTATAAAGAAAATGAGGTTTAATGGACTTACAGTTTCACGTGGCTGGGGAAGCCTCACAATCATGGCAGAGGGCGAAAGGCACATCTTACATGGCGGCAGGCAAGAGAAAAGACAGCCACAACCATCAGATTTCATGGGACTTATTTACAACCATGAAAACAGTATGGGGGAAACCGCCCCCATGATTCAATTATCTCCCACCTGGTCCCTCTCACACACATGGGAATTATGGGAGCTACAATTAAAGATGAGATTTGGGTGGCAACACATGCACATGTATTTCCTTCTGACATGAATAGTGCAAATGCTGCACAAAACTAACTCAACCGCTTTTATTTCACTTCTTGATTCACACATTTTCTCCATCCCTCTCTACTTGAGACTTACTGTTGAGTAAGGAAAGACTAAAAGAAAAAGGAACTATGAATTGGCGTATCTTTTTCTTTTTTCTATGTCATCATGTTCAGTATAAACTGTTGGCTAGTAAGAAGGAATATGAGGGAGTCTGTTGGTTGGTTGTTTGCTTTTCTTAGAATGCGATTGTCTTCTTCATCTGTAAAAAGAGGATACTTTGTAAGGCTATTTTAAAACAGAAAATTCATTTATCCACTCATGTAATTCTGTCCCAAGCACAGTGCTTGGAACACATATGTGTTCAGTAAATATTTTAAATGCTAAGAATTCAGTGTGGCTCAAGTAAGGTGGATGCTGAGGTACATAATAAA